CTGATAAGAAGTTCCAGAAATGTCAAGCTTTTATGGAAGCTGGAATTTCACTTTGCCCACAAAAGCTTTACGTTGGACGTCATGCCATGCTGGTTCAGTCCTGCCAATACCCCTGCACTGTTACATCGCAAATTCCATCTGTAACGAAGTATAAGTGCTGCTGATCGTTGCTGTGTGAAGTCTGAATTTTCGATCGGTGCGCGATTCCTGCCGACGTCGTAAACGCTACGGACTAAGCAAGATTCCATTTACGACTGTGAGGCACAGAAACACCTAGAATCTGAATAATGGACAAGATACGAGGGAGATTGTATCTTGGAGATCGCGATGGTCTCTGCAACCTATATGTCGAGAGATCAGAATTACAGATGGATTCCAGGGTGAATGTCTAAAAAGAATGTATTACGCCTGTCTTGGAACATACACCGAGAATAATATACTGCATTGGAGACGACCAGCAGTGTTCGGCCAAAACAATTCCGCTCCCTAAGACGTCTCTTTCCTTACAGTTTCGCAGATAGAACTGCTGGAAGAAATGTTCGTACTGTACAGACATATTTGTAATTGTTACCCCCGTCAGTGCTACACACGATATATCTCGGTGAGATTTCAGGTTCTCATGACGGCAAGTATAAAAATCTAGATTTTGCGCCATGTTGTCCGGTAGAAGTATACCGACATTTTAGAGGTATCTGCTGCCTCCATCATCAAGTCTGAGGTCTGAGGAGTTCGGCGGACAGAAAAATTTGATGTCCGTGACCACTTCGTTATGTGACCCGCAGAGACCACCTGCTTGACCAAGTCTCTCTGACCTCATTCTTAAAAGGCTGTTCGCATACAGAACATCTTTTTTCACAATCGGCGGAAGTCTGTGAACCCATTCTGATGTCGATTGAAAGAGGGAAAGCTAAGAGTTGTAAAAGTTGTCATTAATTCCAAAGTGAGATCTCCGTTAGTCTAGCGACATAAAGCCGACACTGAAACTTGCCGACATACGAGTATTTGTGTACTCAACACGGTTTTTATCCACGCAGGAAGACGCATATGTACAACATTACCCAAAATAATATCAGAACCCGGAGTCCTAGTGTTCGAGAGGATCAAATCCTTAGACCGTGAGGTCACTGTAACAATATTACCACCTAAAATAGACCACGGCAACTTCATTCTCCATCCTCGAGTCATAAAACATAATGATAATAAAGTCCTGCATTATTTCCACACGCTATACAGGGAAAAGGTACAGCGCATCCTCGTTTGACGCTTATGTGCCCTCTAACATTTGATGTTCTCTTAAGGAACTGCATTGATTACAGCGGTGGGACTGAAATGGAAGAAACTATTGGAAAACGAAAGACTTATCACTTACAGAACGTTCGTTTTATGGAGACAGGCATTCGAAAGCTTTTCAGAAGCTGAAGAGAACAGACCTGGTGAGGGTATTAGGATATAACACTTGAACATTATCAGAAGAAAATTGGAACGATGCTGCAGAAGGCTGTGAATGAGACATGGAACAACTTTTGTTTTTTTAGTGTTCTGTCTGACGACAGGTCCATATGAACAGCATCCTTCCATCCTTTTCTCGGACTGGGACCTGTTCATATACGTTCTTGGCAGATGATCCAAAAGTGGTTTGCCATTGCCTTCTTCTGTGTGTGAATGGAGTAATTGTTGGGATGCCACGGAGAAACCGGAGAAACCCCGGAGGAAAACTCCGTGTTGCCTAGACCACGGCCTTGCCCAACACAAGTTATAAATTCGGGCACCGCCGGGAATCGAACCCGAGACCCCAGGATTACAAGGCCAGCGTTCTAACCGCTAGACCACCGTGGCTACATGACTTAATAATCTAAAAACTGAAAACTTCAAGCAATGTTACGGGTTAGAAATCGGAAGGAACATTGGTGACCTGCAGGTAATGACTTAATTCATAACTTATATTCACAAGTCTTCAACAAGGCGATACGATGATAGACGCAGAAAGCACCTCTGAAACGCCTGCAAACGTCAACCAGACTACACGGCGCGACAACCCAATAAAATCCTGTCGAATATCCGTAGCAATGTGTTTCTACTAGCAAACCTATCTGAATTAGCCCGCAACCGTAAAATCTTACAGAACAGAAACCATAAAACGTTATGGAATATATGTGGCAATGTGTTTCTCCAGCAAGCCAATTTGCAATTACAAGAAACCATAAAATTTTAAAGAATAGCATCTAATGCAATGAACAGAATGTTCGTCAGAATGTCGTTTGGCTTGTCTGTGTTACTAGCAGTCACATAATCTTATACAACAGCCATTGCATCTGTAGTAGGTTCCTCCGTAGAATTCGTCCTTGTTCGCACTGAAACGTACAGCAGAGCAAGTGAAAGGTTCCTGGACTTTCTGGAGGGGGGAGAAGGGCTGGACTTGTGCTGGTTCTATGGGCCTGCGGCTTCTAAATCTTGCTCGGTCCACCAACTAACTCATGAATGGTGCTCAAGTACAATGTATAATTATATGTTTCAAGAAGAGAAAAAATTACTCTTTGCAGTAACGATGATATTTATTGCCGACGTATAAACGTTGTTTGCTGAAACAATACGTAACTGAGCGTATCAAACGATCGTGAGGAAATGAAAGTTTCCTTTGCTTCCATCTATAGACTACACGGAGGTTTGACTTAATTATAGATTAATAGGAAATACGTAACATATTGATCTGTGTGAAAAACTTTCGCCAGTAATGTATCCACCACATGAAAGTTGCTAGACATAGCCCCACAGTTCCGCTCTGCGGCTTTTTAATTCAATTTTACAATATAAAAAATCCTTACCAAATTTATAGACATTTTTATGAGCTACCGAAAGACAAGGCCAAGTGGTTAGCAGTCCTGCTTCGTATTCTGGAAGTCCTGGGTTCAAATCTCGACCAAAGAGACCGGCTACCCTGGCAGGTTTTCTGTGATTTCCCCCAGTCAATCCAGGAAAATGCCGAGATTATACCTTTAATTAGGCCACGACCTCTTTCTCCCAATCCATTATTCAGTAATTATCCTATCA